TGGAAGATTTTGTTTTTTATATTAGTGCTAAGTCGTTGAATCTATTCCACTGATCGATAAGAAGTCGTTAATTTTCAGGTTCACTTAGAAGAAGTNCACACATTATTAATTAACCTTAAAAATTTTAATTAAAACTGAATTTTTGGAAGATTTTGTTTTTTATATTAGTGCTAAGTCGTTGAATCTATTCCACTGATCGATAAGAAGTCGTTAATTTTCAGGTTCACTTAGAAGAAGTACAAAAACCTTTTCACATAGATCTCTAATTTTTTTTAGTTCATTTGAGAATTTAATACTGAATAATAAAAAAATATATACTTTGGTTAATTTCTTCGTATTTTCATTTTAAAACTTCATTATTTCATGAAAATAGCCTGAGTCTATTTCATTGATCGGGAGTGTACATACCTATGCATAATGAATATTTTGTTTTGTATTTTTTAAATAGCTTAGAGCATTCGTTATTTATGAAATCAGTTCTCTTTTGCACTATTTCATAAACAGCGAGCTAAACTTATTGGCCTTGTTTGAAAAATTAAAATATAAACTAATGGGGTGAAAGTATGTCCATGCATACACAGGAAAAAAAAAAGCGTCGCAGAAAAAATAGAGGCATATCCAATTGGCTCTCGGGTAGGGTAAGATCATCTACTAGACATGCCATTTGAAGGCAGTCGAAAAGGCGTATTTCCAAAGCCATGGAATACAAAAAATAGTCGCAGTAGGCGTATAAATGCATTTCAGAATAATAGTTAAATTTTTAATATGTATGTTATTATTATTTCAAGTAAGTTTTCATCTTCTAAGAGCATACATACATACGTATAAGACGGCCTGGTGCTATGGCCATTCCATACAACGAAAAAAATTATAAAAAATTGAGCTTTCAATGTTGCCATTTGTTTTCCTTTGGCATGATAATGGTTCAAAAGGAATTTTGGTAGGCTTTAGTCCCTCCGAAAAATTGCAATGAGTGCATGTGCTTTGATGGCATTAGAAATGGTGGACACCATAAGCCTGACGATCCTTTTTTACTTACTAATTATCTGCATCTTTCACAAACCAGTAATGAAGTGCTGCCTACCAGCGAAAGCTATTGCTTGAAGCAGACTAAAAATTCTGATAAAAAATTTTGGAACTTTCATGCAATTTCGTTGAAATTTATCGAATTTTCGTAACTTTTAACAAAGTTTGGACGAAAAATAATTAACATTAAGTAAGCAAAAAAAAAATAGCTACAACTTGTTAAAATATCACGTATTTACATATTTATGCTTTTGTCACCGTATAAATTAAACTATATTTATATTTTCTTTTGCTGTTTTATCCATAAAAACATTCGGGCATGTTCTGCAAATCGTACGATTTCAAATCGGTGCGATTTACAAAATCTATTTCGGAAGATTTATAACAAAGAGGTAAAAATTTGGCACTAAATCGATGTATATAACGTAAGTGATGTGTTTCTAGCAGTTTCCATTTGAAAAATTTAATACTTTGATTACAAATATACAACAATACTTTGCAAATCGCACCGATTTGAAATCGTACGATTTGCAGAACATGTCTGATTGATACTTTTCTAGTTAATTTAATTCATACAAATCTATATTTGCATACAGAACTAAGCCATTTATAAATATTTACAGGGTCAAATGATGTACATAGCAGAATCTGATCGTATCTTGTTTCAATGCTATCCCAGCGTAATGAATTTGGACGATTTAACAAAGTGAGTATAAATAAAAGTTTTCTTTTGTCCATGAAGTCTGAACCACACTAATACACAAACAGGAATATGTGCCCATTCTGGTTGCTTGAGATTAAAAAGTGGACATAAAGCTTTGATTGCTTAAAAAATGTCGAACACGTACTTTTCTTCTTATTTTATGCCACTACAACCGCTTGTAGGTTTGGGTTCAATCCAAATGATTTCGTAATTTTTTATTTTCTTTTTGAACTAACATAAAAAAGTCTCAAACCTAAGGCCGGAGTAGAAGCGCAAGCTTTTCAAAAAATAAGGACAACTGTGGATGTAATATGTGCCGATCAACTATGACACAAGTTGTCTGCAGTCAACTGCTATTTACCTCTCCAACTGTATCCCACCACGTTGGTTGAACTACTAAGTAAGATTGCACATAGCTCGACTTGGAATACCGAGGTATATTTCTATGACATTTGTCAACGTTTACTTCAATATAGACTCATCGCCTTACCCGAACACAGTTTAGGAATGCATCACATGTTTTCATTTCATTGTTAAGTTAATTATCATTAAATTTAAATTTTAATTTTAATTAAATAATGTTCAAGAAACTGTGGGAACATATTTATGTATAGTATGTCCAGTTTTTTTTTAATATTCAGTCTTCCGTACGGTTTGTAAAATTCAGTAGTCGTTGTCTACTGTCCATAATTGAGCCGTTTATTTTGAAGTGGCATAAATCACCTTAAAAAAAATCGAGTTAATGATAACAGTAATTACAATTTAACGTTATCTGTTCATTCAAAAAAATGCACGAAATGTTGAGAACTACTGAGTGTGGCATAAGTTACAAAAAAAAAAAAAATTAAAAATTACAAAAATTTTGCAAAAGACAATACTCACAAAACTAGGAGCCAAATACAGCAGTTACTATTTCTGGTGTCAGGATTTTTCTTAAAAAGGTTTTGGAGTTTCAAAGATGTGATTAGTTTCAAAATATATTTCAGTGCAATGTAGAATAACAATGAAGAGAAGAGTCTGAACTGAAAAATATTAAAATATGTGGTGCATAAGGAAGAACAGATATAGAAAATGCCCTGAACGTACTTAAATTATGGACAGGAACACTTTTCCACTTTCGAAATAAACGGCTGATTTCGTATCCACTTTTCAAATTCTTAACGCCATGTGTTCCGTTATAAATTGCTAAAAATTTAAATAAAAAAGTATTTTCATAGCTTTCAAGAGACCAAAAATACTTATATACATGCATGCATATATATATCTATATGTGTGTGTATATATATATATATGGGGCATTCCATACCAAAACGGACGGGGTTAACACTCAATTTGTTTGATTTGTTTCAAATTTTTAGGGCTGATGCATAAACGTAAATAATTAATACTTATTTAAATATGCAATTTCCCAGCCAGCAGAGAAACGTACTTTTTGCCGAAAGTGCAGTTTTCGTACATTTTTCGTTTCCGGAAATGTTCAGAAAACGATTTTCGTATTTGTTCATTTTTCGTATCCGAAAAATGTCATCATCTTATTTCAAAACAATGATTTTAAAATATTTGTTCAAACTGAGCATTTGAAAACATGTATACATATTCGCCAGTAGCTGAGTGTGCAGAGAAGTATGCTACTATTTGTTAGCTTTCAGGAGGTCCCAGGTTCGAATTCCGTCAGAAGCAACACATTAAAATTAGCTATTCAAATAGAAATAATTGCTGAATCTTAAATTAGTTTTTTGTTTGGTCTCCTGTAACTATGAAAAAGATTCTGTGAAGTTCATAATGAAATCGTTTTCAACGAAAAATTGGATCAGACAAATTTCAGGAAAACAGCCGAAAGCGCATCCGTTTTACAACCATTTTCGATAGTTTTCTGCACATACGTTTCGGATGAACACTTTAGTGGGAGAACTGATCTGAAAAACGTCCGAAAACGGAATCGGAAAACGGATGAAACATCAGGTTTTTATACGAAATTGTTTCCATTTTCGGATACGTTTTCGGATATTTTGCTGGCTGGGTTGAGCTTGATTAATACATTCTTAAAAATTTTACAGGACAAAACCAAAAACAAATAAATTTAATAGTTGTCCAAATATCTCGAGAACGGAGATATGAAAAAATTCGAAGAAAAACACACATACACGTGTCAAAATTCTCTATAAAACAAAAAATAGTTTGAAATTTTTTTCTTTACATACAAATTTTTTGATAAAAAAAATTGTTTTTGAAAATATGCCAACTCAAAAAAAAATAAAAAAGAATCACAATGGTAGCTCTGAGTTTTGCGCAATATTTAAGTATAGTATTATGGGGTACACTCTACAATAATTTGAGTTATGAATTTTTTTTACACCAAAGTTGAGTAAAATGAGTATATTACAAATTTACGAATTTGTTTAGAATTTTTTTGAGTATGCAGTTTTTAAGCCCATTAAATTTTAGTATAATAAAGTCCAAGTTTTAAGCTACTGCAAAATTGGCGTAATAAAATTTATTTAATTTGATGCTGGGACTATTTACAGTCTCAAAAGAATTTGTTTAAGAGTCTAGGTCTCAAAAAAAAAACAAATAAGTAGCATTATCAAGTGAATAAGTACCTAATAACCTAACTTAGCCAGAAATGCTTTGATTTCGTTTTAAAAAAGCAATCTAATTCTTCAACATAACGAAGTCAATTTTACCCTCTCATATGCATTGAAAATTGTATAAACATGCTTTCAAAAACACTTACATAAATACAAATAAACATACGCACATATTTTGCTTTCTATATACATATGTATGTACACACATACTGTTGTGTATATTTAGTTTACTTATATACATAAATAAATATTGTCGCTAGACGTGTATAATGGCTTAAGGGACAGTCCTTGGCTAGGTATAAAACCATGTTTAAGTGTCTTTTTTCGCCGTCAACTAGGTTTAAACGTCTTTTTCGCCGAAGTTTTTTTACGCGTCTTGTTTCGTCAATGCGTCTAAACAATGACGCGCCTTTATTCGTGTCTAGCGACGATATGTACAAATACATAGATTCTCTCACCAACAAGACAAACCGCAAAGTGCCATAAAACGCCCAAAGTCATGCTCCGGTCGCATAGACCATATATGTACATACGTTCATAAGGCAGCTTGAATAAATGAAGCTGTGCAACTCAATGTATGTATGTATGAGCATATAGGGCCTGCTTTAAATGCCTTTAATGGCTTACTTTTGTCATATTTCGGATTTTACAAATTTGCTTTGCGTCTGCCGGTTGCAGGATGAAATTTAGGATAAAAAAGCACAGCATCTGCAGTAAAGACAAAAAATACAATAACAAGAGACACATAATAAACATGGAAAAGCACACACTTATTTATATATATATATATATATATAAGTATATACATTTAGCCATAACAATACATAGCAATTTTATAGCACATTACTTTTAGCCAGCCAATTCGCTTTCACAGCCGAGTCGTTTCCCTTGCTGAAGTTGTTATTCTTATGAGTCTGAAAATTTTGTTTTTTTTTCATTTTTCCTAGCGTTTCGTTTGTATTTTGTTGCTTTATTTGTTGCTGGACTGTTTTTTTTTCGGATTGTGGGTGTATAGTTATAATAACTAAGTGCTTCCAGTAGAAATCTCGAGCTGACATAAACTGGTATAAGGACATCCGTACTGTTAGGCTAGTGCGTCTATAAAATTGGGAAATTCAGTATTCACATGTGCAGACATGTACATTGTTCGAATTATATCGCTAGCTTAGAGTGCAAAGTTGCTAAGTCCAATTTTTTTTTTAGTTTTACAAGAGATGAAAAATTTCTTCTAGCTATTTCCTTCAAGTATTTCGCAAATCTTTAAATAAAATATTTTGCGTGTTTAAAGCAAAACATTAGATCATTATTAAAAGATCTCGTATTATTTTGGTTTTATTGGATTTTCGATGCCTCTTCCGGACTTAGCAAAATTGCCTTTCATTGAATGTAATCGAGGGAAAATAAAACAACTACCTTAGTCTTTTTCGAAACGATGTATTTTGGTTAATTCCTGTTTTCAATATCAAAATATCTTTGGTCATAAGCAATAACCGCCTAAGTCGACTTAAGAAATAATTGAGTTATTTATGCTATCGTTTTCTGCAACCACTATTCCATGTGTATCTGAAATTCGCATCTGGTTAACTACACTATTTAAAAAGTTATTGATGAAAATATTTTGGTTTCCCTTTAAGGTTAACATTACAATCCAAATCTTTAAAGTGTTTTTTTCGAATTCAGGTTTTTCGACTTAGGCGTTTATTGCAGACAGATATGAGTTGTCATAAAAAGTGGAGTTAACAATTTTCACTCCAAGCTAGCGATATGCTTTTGAACCGTTTAAGTAATTCTTTCAAAACAAAAATGTTTCAGAGAAAAATTAAAGCGGGAAATCATATTCTGTTGCTTAATATTTAGATTCTAACCCAAATCTGAATAAATACCAAGTTATAAGCTAATATGTCCATAATTTACGGAATCGAGGAATATGTATATAGATATATGTGGCTATTTCAAAATAAAAAAGAAAATTCCATGTATCTGGTCGTTGACTCAAATGGACAGGCGATGGTTTAAAATTGCTTTAAATTTCTACAGGATGTTATGGAAATGCTCTGAGATTTGCAGTTGGGATTGCATTTGCGAATTTTGTGCTTATCGCCATGGCAACCGTGTGCATGTTGTTGTTGTGAATTTTAAAATGCAACGATTATGCAAATGCGCAAGACCTGAACAGATCGCGTACTAGCCGCAACAATGCTTTCTTTTGTTTTTAGCTTCGTTCTAGCCCGATTTATGCCCCTCCAACCGATAGGAGCGGACTCTAGCGACAACTGGTTGCGTTAATAGAAGCGCAGCTTGAAGAGCGAAGCAGCTGAGATTGGGGAAAAGTCTCCATTAGGGATGCTATTCCAAAACGATACCGACCAATACGAAAGAAAATAGGTAGAAGCGATGACGCGAAAAACCACAATAGGAG